CTGCTGTCGTCACAGTCGCTGCCCTGTGAGTCCCGCCCCGTCGAGCAGTTCTCCTGGGTCTCATTGCTGCTCATGTCCACGTCCTCCTGAAGCGGGGCTGAGCTGGGCCTGGGCTCTGGGGGCTCCTTGGAGGGGTTCCCAGGGCTGGGTGGGTAGCCCGCATAGCCGTTCATGCTGGCTCCCGAACAAAGCTGGCAAAGGAGAGAGTGTCGTCAGGCAGTAGGGGAGCAGGTGCCCCGCAGCCCTCAGGTGGGGCGCCCCATCCGAATCTTTCCCCACGTTTCACCGAAGGAGCCGGCAGGAGGCAGGGTCAGTCGTGGGTCTCCTTTGCTCGTATTCACTGGGCTCCTACCTGCCGTGAACTATGAAGGCAGAGGGGTGAGGCAGCCCCAGCCCCAGCCCCAGCCCCAGACATCAACGTGCTGATGGCTTAGTCAGAAGGTGTCCGGTGTCGGTCATCACAACCCAGCGCGTGGGGAGCTTTGGGGGAAACACAGATTTCCACTGAATAGCTGGCAGGGCCTAGGAACCCACATCTTACAGATCTCCCCAGGTGGTGTGGGGGAACAGCGGGGTTCAGAAAGCTTGGCCATCACAAGTTACAGGAGACTCCAAAACCAGGCTGCGGGGGAGGGAGACTTCAGGATGGTGCTGTGGGGAGCAGGCGGGGGGCCCTCCCAGCAGCGCAGGGGCTCCAGGTCCAGGCATTCCCAGCGCTCGGTGGCTGAGGCACGTGTGAGTGGGGTGTGGAGGGGAGGGACCAGTACGAGGCCAGTGTGGAGTTTACACTTTATCTGGATCTATGAGAGGCTGGTGAAGCACTGTAAATAGCAGACTCAAGTGACTTGGTTTGTGTTTGGACGAGAACTTTAACTTTGGTGCTTTGAGGGTAGGTGGGTGGAGGGGAGCTGAAGTCCTGACCAGGCACAGGCTGGGACAGCAAGTGCACGGGGCAGGGGGGCTTGACCAGAGGCCTCAGGACGGGGAGCCTCAGGTCGCAGGGTGAAAGCAGCACCGAGGATGCTGCTTCCCTGGAAGTCCCGGCAGGCGGTGGGTGCCCACTCAGACCCGGGGAGCTCTCAGCGAAGGCACTGCGTGGAAAGGTGCAGTCAGGGCTAAGGAAACTACAAAAGATGTGCAGTCCTGGGGGCCACCAGGGAGGCGGAGGGAGCTGCTATCACACCTGGGCCTGGGGGGACAGGAAGAGGATGCCTACTGAAACCGGGGGACCCCCGATGCCCTGCGGCCTGGGGGACAGCGCTGGGACATAAACCCTGGCTTCTCTCTCCTCCTGACCTTGGAGGTCAGGAAGCCAGAAGGCAAGAGGACCCACTGACACAGTCCCCAAACGCCACCCTTGGACACTAAGCCGTGGGGGAGTTCTGGAGGGCCCAAGTCGTGGTGCCTTCACCCAAAGGACCCCCAGAAGTGCCCCCACAGCTCAGGAACCTGGACCAGCCGCCAGGAGGAGGCTCTGGTGGGTGGTGGTGACTGCAGACACTGCTGAGGACGTGACTGCACGGCCTCACGTCACGGTCACCGTCCGTGGTGCATGTAGGATCCCACTCTAGGGACGGGAAAACAGGCTGGTGACCTGCCCGAGGCCACAGCAGGCCCGCCTGCCCCTGAAGACGGGACCCGTGGAGAATACAACCACAGTATTCTCCAGAAGACAGCAGGTCTGATCACTCTTGTCTTGTTCATGAACCACTGAACTGAACAGCACCGAAGTGCAGCTTTGGAAAAGGAGTGCAACTCAGACAAGGAGAACACAGCCTCCATGGCGTGAGGAGACCCACACCTACTCCATATCGTAAGTAAAAACCCAGAAATGATGGGTTCCGGGAAACGCAATGAAGGATGCGCTCAAGCTGCAGACTGAGAGGAAAATGTCGAACAGAGACTCAGAGCGGGGAGGGTGCAGCTCAGCGGTAGAGTGTGCGCTTAGCATACACGAGGTCCTGGCTTCAATCCCCGGTAGCGCCATTAAGATAAATAAGTAAATAAACAAACCTAATTACCTCGCTCCTAAACAAATTAAAAAATACATAAAATATTAAAAAGTAATTTAAAAAAGAACAGAGGATCAGAAATATCAGCGAGGAGGAGGAGGAGCACAAGAAACTCTCTAAACAAGCCGAGGGGAAGGGCTGACGCTGCGCCGCACCTTCACCTGCCGACGACAGCTCTGTCAGAAAAAGACACCGCAACCATGGAACAAACTGCACGGAAAGGGACACACAAAGGAAACCGTCCTGAAGACAGATTTGCCTCTGCCTGGCCACCTGTGCACGAGGCAGAAGTATGTGAGCTACGTCCTGATGAAATGATGTTTTCAAGGAAAGAGAAAATTCTACCTGCATCCCAACAGGACAACAAACAGCTTCCCTGCAAAGGGTGTTAGGTCGGGCTACTCTTCATGTCTCCGCTGTAATATTATACTCTCAGAAGGTGAAGTCTGCACACAGCTCTGGGCCGAAAAGCTCACTGTCTCGGGGAGGAAGTCTCAGTTAGAGGATCTTACTGTGAGCCTGGACAGCTGCCATCAGTCCGCCTCGAATCACAGAGGACCCAAAACTCCAGTGCCTTCCAGGGAAAGTCAGGAATAAAACAGGCAAGTCTTCGACACGTCAGGGACGTCCTAGCTAATCTGGCGAAAGAATGAAAGGTGCAAACCCTTGCAAAGAGAGAGCCCGAAGACCAAGCACAGGCTGTCCCCACAAAGAGAAACACCAGGTGAGATCTACAAACCTGGGAAGGTGCGCGACCTCGTAAGACAGGAGGGAAGTGCAAAGGATGAGGTTTCCAAAGGTCAACAGGACCAACCACATCCTGGGCTGGCCAGGTGGAGGCCTACAGAGGCTCTCCGGGGGGCTCTGGGCGTGTGCGGCAGCGCTCACGCCCGGGCCCTTCCCACCCCTCGGAAGCCGCTCCCTGGGCAGGCTCGTGCTCGGACAAAGAGGCACGAGTCTGGTGTGGGGGGATTAAAAACCGGGAAAGAACCACCGGCAAGGAGGCTATCAGCATCCTGTCCAGGGCATCCTGCCCACCACAGCCACCCCGGCCAGGCGCCAGCCTCAACACACACACCGGGCCCCGTGCCTCATCTGGCCCCACTGGGGTCTACGTGGGGCAAGTGAGATCCTCTCTCCCCGGGGCTCGGAGCACAGTCCTGCCCTGCATCGGGGTCGTGCCCCACGCAGCCTCCCGGGAACTCCTGTGCGGCCACCCCCGTGGCTCGGCCGCTGTGCTCAGACCTCGGGCCCTCGCACTTGCTGCTCCCTCGTGTCCCCAGCACTTGTCGGGCAGAGAGCTTGACCATCCTGCACAAACAGCACAGACTTCTCCCCTCCCCCGGCAGCTCTGCGTCCCCTGCTTGGCTTTCCGTCCCAAGGCACTGACGCTGCACACTGACGTGCCGAAGCTCTGAGCTGCTCCCGCTGTACCCCAGGGCCTGGCGCAGGCTGTGAAGGCATAAAACCAGGGACATCTGCACTGTGGAATACTATGTACCCCATTAAACAGAAAGGCACCAGAGACACTGATGTGGGAAGACTCCAGGGCATAAATGGACACATTACAGAACGACAAGTAACAATAAAAATGCCAGGCAGCGCGGTGGCAGCGCGCAGCGCGCGCCGGCATGGCCCCAGGCCTGCGTTTGTGGATTTGCTTGCTCTCCCTGTGCACAGCACTGGGGGCTGGTGCTGTGGCCGAGGACAGGACGGACATCGTTCCTGTCTTCACTGGAGAGGGGAAAACAGACTATCGACAAGGGAGTGGCACTGGAGTAGCATCTAGCTCAGTAGGAGAACATGTCCTCAGCATGCACGGGGTTCTGGGTTCAAGCCCCCGTCTCCCCACTGAAAAGTTAAGTTTCAAGAAGGTGGTGGCACGTGTAGCAGGTTAACAGTGAATGCTATGCGAAGAAGGCAGAACACAGTCTCAGAGGTGTGAGAGAGTGGCTGGGCGTGACCTTTCAGGAAGGGTGGCCACTGTGCAGATGACTCTTGACCTGGTACCCGAGCCCATAAGGGGTGCTGACTCAGAGCCCCTTGGCCTCGCTCTCCCCAGGCCGGCAGCCCCCGACCCTCCAAGCCGCCACCGGGAGCACGCCCACGTGGTCCGCCTGGCTGACACCTGAGGCTGTCTGGAGTTGCTGGCTCTGCCCACCACGTGTGACCCTGGATGAAGTACCACATCACAGGGAGGGTCCTGGCTTCCCCAGCCGCTGTAAAGGGCCTGGGGAGGCAGGGGCCCCAGTGTGCCCCCTGGGCCAGTGAGCCTTGATCATGGCACCTGGAGGGAGGGCAGGCCCCTCTCCATCCCTCCCTGGAAGGGACTGTTCTGGAGTTTTTTGGGGTTTGTTTTTTTTTTTGTCCTTCCTTCCTTTCTCTTTCTGCATAGTTTTTTTGATGAGGTCCCAAGGGCCTGGGTATCTGTGAAGCAGAGCGTCATCGCATGGGTCCCAGCCTTCTCTTCCACACCTTCCTGTCCTTCACTCCAGCTGCCCTGGGAGCACACCTCCCAGTAAAGCACTAGCATTTAAGCCTTGGCCCACACTCTGCTTTTAAGAGAACCCAAACCAAGATAGATGAAGAGAGTGAGAGAACAGGCCAGGAGGATGCCAGAGGAATATTCCAGGCAGGAGGACAGCAAGTGCAAAGGTCCAGAGGCAGGCAGGTTTGAGGAAAATGGACAAGTCTGGAGCAGAGAGGGCGAGCCAGAGGCAGGAGGGTGATATGAGGGCAGAGCCAGGCCACGTGGCACTTCGCAGGGAAGAGCCAGGACTTGGGCTTTTTTCTGAGTGGGACAGGAAGGCTGTAGAGTCCCCTGCAACAAGACTTGACTTACACTTTAGCGGGGTGACAGGGTCCAGGCAAGGTGGAGACTAGGAGGCCTCTCAGGGGTTCCTCTGTGGTTTGCTAGAGCTGCCACGGGGGCTGCCCAGGGTGCTGGGGACGCGCCCTTACTCCTGTCCCCCAGCTCCCTGGACACCACCCGTCTCATCCCACAGTCCTCCCCAGACCAGTAGCCGGGCTGGTCCTTTCTGCTGAGTAAATTATGAAGGTGACAGGGCAGCGGCAGCGGCCAGAGGTCTGCTCAGACCCTGGACGGCGGGGGCTTTGGCAGGTTCTACCACTTCCTGACTGGGTGATCTTGGGCGAGTTCCTGCACCTCCTGGTGCCTTGTTTCCTCATCTGTAAGATGGGGCTAGAGCAGTACTCGCCTCCTACTCGTTGCTAGGAGGGTTAAGTGTCTGGAATGCAGCAAGCATCCAGCAAAGGCTAGCTTTTACCATCACTGCCGATCACTAGAGGTAAACAGACAGGGTGACAAAAAGCAATTTTATTTACTTTCAAAAAGGAGATATTTCATTGTCATGAGAGCTGTCCCTGGCGGCCCCAGGCAATAAAGACATCCTGCGGAAGGAGGCATCACATACTTTGCTTCCACGCACGCCTGGGGCTTGGGCTCAGCTCCCCGCAGGAGCTCCTGGTTTCTACCTGTCCTGGCCCCTGGGAGCCTGAGTAGGAGTCACCGAGCTGGGGTCACAAGATACCTTAGGAGGAAGGCAATTCTTTTTGCTAAGAGAGTAAAGCAATCATGGCAGAAACAGAAAAACCATCTGAACTTCATCATTCCAGAGACAGCGCCGGCAGCTCTAATTGACCGACCTCATTTCGCCAAGTTGGCAAAATCAACGTGCCTGTCAAAGCAGACTTTGACTCCTGCCTTCCAGAAATGTTCACGGAGTGCCCGCTCATGCCAGCACTGCCAGGGTCCTGCGGAAGCCTGGGGAACCTGGGTTTCCACCCAGGGGGTGGAGGTCCCTTTGAGCCCGGGGTCTGGGGCCCCTGGAGGGAAAGGTCAGCCCTACTGCAAAGGGGCTGCCGGGGAAGCGGAGGGGGGGCCTCTGGGTGTGAGCTTGTGTGCCTGCTGTCGGGGGCCCCGTCTCAGCCACGTCTAAGACGTCCACACACTGGCCCTGCCCCCGGAAAATGGTCAGGAAGGGAGCTGAGCTCAGACTCTTGACTCCGGGCCCCTGACCACACCCTCGGTAGCGAGGGTTGCCCTGGCTGGACAGAGGAACACTTAGAAAGCGCGGTCCTGGATGAGCTCAACGTCTGGGGTGGCTTCTCAACACTTTGGGAGGGGGAGGAAGTGAGTGGGGATGCGGAAGGAGAGGGACCAAGAGCAGAAATCATTTGAAGCTGGCTGATGGGTTCGTGACGTTGTCCTCTCTACTTTCAAATATATTCATGGTTTTTATAATAAACAGTTAAAAAAAATTCGGAACAAAAACACAGCCACAGCCAGGACTGGTAAAGACTCCGCGCACTCAGTGCCCCTGAGTCCAAGATGGATGTACATTTCTCTGTGCAAAACAGTAATCAGTGCATGGTTCAATTACTTACGCAATCAGTTTTTGGAAACAGAAGATAAGAAGACACTTGCAAAAGTCCCAAATGGTAAAGTCTTAATGTACATCCGCAGACTGAACACACCCAGGTACTCAGCACCCAGCTCGGGAGGCAGAACACTGCCAGCCCCCAGGACCCTGGTGGTCTTCCCTGGCACCTCGCCACCCCCTGGGCACCGTCAGCCTGGCTTCTCACAGTCTAGTTAGTTCTGCCTGTTTCCAAACTTTATGTAACAGGATCTCACAGCGTGTACTTTGTTTCTGCAAGCCCTGGGTATCTTATCCCAAATATTATAACACGGTTGCTACTTCCTGGTCGGAGCCAATCCCCTGAGGCCAGCCTGCTGTAATCTGGAGAAAATGTTTGTCCTGCTAAATAAACACTGGCACTCTCCATGGAAACGGTTGGGTAACCGAGGAAAATGTGACTGCAGCCGTCCAAATATGGAAGGGAAGGTGGCTGGGGAGGGCTCGTCTCCGCCTCACCAAGGCCCGTTCAAGCACCCGCAACTCTGCCTTTAAAAACCTCAACTCTGGAAAAGCACAAGATTTAAAACGACGACAATGCGAAAACGTCAGCTTTCTAGCTTCAGCGTCTGGGTGCCTGGGAGGAGCCCAGCTGTCATTCTTTTGTCATCCCGGGAAGAGCATGGGGGCTCTCAAGGCCTCCAGGGGCTGGCAGGGGTCCAGCCCTTGGCCTGGAGTCTGCTCCACCTTCAGAGCTGCCCACCTCTGATAACACAGCGGCCTTGCCCCTGGCCGTGACCCATCCCCGTGACCCGTCCCCGCTCACCTGCTCACTTACTGCTTCTAGCTTGTCTAGACTTAGAAATATAGTAACAAACGTGTTACAGATATGCCTACAAAGAGCACAGAGTTGAAATGAGGGTTTAACAGAAAAGCTCAGGGGGCCGCCCATCAGGGGCCCCTGTCCAGACTTCCCGGTTCTGTGGGTTGGCAGGAGGGCCAGCTTTCCACAGAGCAGGGGCACAGAGCCTCCGCAGAGCTGCCAGGTTGTGTGGTTGAAGTCAGCTTTGCCGAATACGGTAGTTTTCAGCGTCACTCTTTCTTCTGACTAAATGCTGAGCGGTCCCGCCAGCCACTCAGTGACCTGCCAGAGCCTCTGATTTGCTGAGGTCTGTGGAGGTTACATCATCATTTAAAAACAGGCGTGCCCACCAGCATTTTTCTGAGAGTTAAGCATGCATGAGAAATAGTACAAATGAGAGAAACTTTTCCTGTTTCCTTCTAAGTGCGGCAGATGTGCCTCACAGGGTGACGCTGTGTGATCCAAAGGCAGCTCGGAAACTTCTGTCTCCTGTGAAGGGGCCTGATCTGTAGAGTATCAGGAATCCGAAAAGCTAGGGACTGAGAGACCTCACAGAGCGCCTAACCCGAGACCCCCTGTACAGACAAGCCCAGGGTGGGAGCTGAGTCACCCAGCAGCAGGCTGCTGGCTGGTGACAGGCCTCCCCCTCCTTGCCAGTGCCCCAGCCCCCACAGAAAGCCAGGGCTGCGTTAGCTCTGCACCAGTGAATCACACCAAGATGACAGTGACAGATAACTGCGAACACCTACGTACCACCCCTGTTGGCATAACACGTAGTTTCCTTTAAAAAAAAAAAGTCCCTTTCCTCATTTTACTCAGATGCCTTATAGAAAGTGACTAGCCTTGGATTTAAAAGCCCAGTTTCCAGTTAAAGCCTTCAGCTGGAGTCCTGTTCCCTTCTCAGCCAAAGCAGCCCCAGGCTGGAAACTCCAGGTAAGGGATGGGTATCTCCCCCTGGCAGCCAGAGAGAAGGCCAGTGGCCCTGCTGCATTAAAAGCGGGAGGTGAGAGGTATTCATGGAGGGGCTTCTGCCATGGTGCTGGTGCTCTTAACGTTTGGGGGACCTGAGGTCCCTCCCCTCAAATTCCAGCCCGCTCAAGATTCAGCAGCATCCCATTTCAGACCTTCATAGAACCTCTGAAGCCCATCCAGATCCAGATCAAGACCTTTAGGATGATAGAAAGACCCTGAAGGTACCCTGAGCCTGGGCCTGGCCCTGCCATGGGGTGTGCCCAGCAGGTGTCTGGGCCTCAGTTTCCTCATCTGTCAAGCTAAGCGGTTACCCTGGATGATTTCCAGGATACCTTCTGGCTCCCTGTTTTCCTGTGAGTATGAATCAGCTTTCCAAACTGGTCTCTTTTGTGCAGGTTCCAGAAACCCTAGCAACTGAGTTGTCATCCCTTACTCTGGACTTCCTGGGGGGGTTACCTGGCCACCACCCACCTCCTGGTTCTGTCCAGGACTGGCAGCCAAAGTACACCCCAGAAGGATAATCTGATCGCTGTATCACAAAGTTGGACCCCCCACCCCTCAACTACTTCCACCCAACCTGGGGAGAGAGAATAAATACAGAGAGGTCCAGGGTCCAGGGTGGGCAAATGGACATCAGGTTCTCAGGCCTGGCTTGGCCCAGCAGCTGTCCTGTCTCTCTGTTCACCCACTCTGGTGGACCCAAGGGCTGTCCAGGTAGGGCTCCTAGACCAAGTCTCCATGGCCGGAGACTTGGCTCTCTGGACTCAGAACAGGACGCCAGCCCCCAAGGGGCCCTCCATGTTCTCAGGGACTGTGGCACTGACCCTAGGTTGCCTTGGCCTTTCCCGCCTTCCCCCGTGGGGGTGGGGGAAAGGCAGGGAGAAGAGGAAGGGTTCATAAAAGAAAATTATCTAAAGGACAGTCCAGTGTGGTGGTCACTTAATAGCTCTGTGATTTTAGACATGTGGCCTAATCTCTCTGGACCTCAGTTTCTTAATCTGCAAAATGGGAGTAACAGTACCCCCCTCCCCCCGCCCCAGGCCGGTGTCAAGTCTAGAAGTCAAATGGTCCAGGAAGCTCTCGGATAGCGCCTTCGAGGGCTAGAGGATCCACCGTCGCTGTCCGGAGCCGGTCCGCCGAGACTCCAGACTGCCCACCCCGAGGACCGGGCCGGCGGGCGGCAGTTACGTAACCAGCCAGCCGGCGGCCGGACGCGGGTCCGCGCCCAGGCCGGCCCGCCCTGCCCGCCGCGCAGCGCCGCGCACTCACCGGAGCTACGTCCTCGCCGGTCCGCCCGACCATCCGCGTGTAGCCCGCTGACCCCGCGCCCGCCGCTTCCGCCGCCAAAAGCAGCGCGTAGCCGGCAGGGCCGCCCGCCTCTGCCGCCGCCGCGGACTCGCCGCTGTCACATAGTGGAAAACGTGACCGCTCGCCGCGCCCGCCCCTAGCGCCCGCTATTGGCCGTGGTGATGCCTCATCTGCATACCAAGGGGGCCGGGCCTGCAAGCGCCGCGCGTCCATTGGCTGCGGCGCCCATCGCTCTCTTTACATAAGACGCACATGGAACTCCATGTTCACTGCGTTGTTTTTCAATGAAGAAGCGGCGCGGTCGTGCCCCCCCTCCTCGTCCCCCCGAGTGGTCCCTTCCACTTCCGGCCTCGGCGCCTTCCATTCAAGACAGCGCCCGTCTGCCGGCTCAGGGAGTGCGGAGTGGCGCGTACCACCGCGGGGCGGGGGAGCTGAGCGCGGGACGGGGTGTGCACCTCGGCCGGCCGGCCGCCGGGAAGCCGAACCCCCGCTGAAGCCGCGGCCCCGAGAGGCTGCCACTTGAGCAGCCCGCCAGAGGCGGCCCCCTACGGCCAAGGCCGCGGGGAACTCCCTGCAGACATCTTTCTTTCATTCACTCGTTCACACTCATTCATTTACTCATTCTCATTCACTCATCCCTGGGCGCTGAAGCTGCTCAGGGAACTAGACCGGGAGGCTCTGCAGGAGCTCCTGGTGCACGCCCACCCAGACCACCGAGATGGACACTTGACCCAGATCTGCCGGGACAGTTAGCTTCCAAGTGGCCTTTCTTATTTTTCAGACCTTATGTCACAAGTGTTGGTTCAGCAAATAGAGTCCTTGTTACTATGAGGAGGTACAAAAGAAATAAATGATGTTGTACCCTTCCCCAACCACATCATTAGGCAGAAAGGACGGTCTCATGAAAAGAGAACTTAGTCAAGTACTAAACTGGGCGGTGTGGATCATAAATTAACCAGGGCTAGAGTTATGCCCAGATGCTCCATGGATAAGGCAGAACGTGAAGGGTGGGAAAGGCGTTTGGAAAAGGAGGGTTTGGAAAAAGAGGAGCCACAGAGACACATGAGCCAGATGTGGGGGTTCTGGGAGAGTGTTGTTCTCTGAACACCTTGGCTGTGGCCAAATGTTCTTTCAGTAAGCATTGACTGGGGCATGTGAAGCCCCTGCCTTCTGTCTCAAGTGTCAGGAAAGAGTAGAACTTCCTCTCAGACCAAGTAGAGGGCCAAGACTTTCCTGTGGGCCACAGAACAGCCGGCAGGCTCCAAGGCAGCTCAGCAGCTGGCTGAGACTGCGGGTCCGATGGGGGAGGTGAGACTGGTCGGGCTCTGAAGGGCTGAAGGGGTCTGTAGAATCTCCCTCCACTTGTCCATTCTCCCCGGGCTGTCCTGGGGACTGAGGATGGGAGGGAAGGAAGACTTCCGATCTGGTGGCCTGCAGCAAACTAAGCTGCTAGTTTCCAAAGCCAAACCCACATTCAGGAATTCCTCTGTGCAAGACGCTTCTTTCCCTCTCCTTGGCAAGGTGTGTGCAACATCGTGAGACACAGGTGCAAAGCAAGGCAATGCCATGTTCATCAGGACAGTCCTCACCACGTTGGTCCTGGTAGGCCTGCTTCTGGGCTCACACTTCTGGGTGAGAGGGGCCCCTCCCCGTTTCTCTGACATTGACACTCCCCGCCCCACTCCCTAATACACACATATACAAATGCCAAGCAAATCCAGGCCCAGCTGCACCCTGCACACACCCAAAGGCCTTTGTTTCTTCACACACATTGACGTCAATGGTGAACTCCATTGTTCTGGAAATGAGAGAAATCAGACAGTTCATCCACACCACTAAGAGGTTCTCCTCCTGCTCAACTTTTCTTTGGTCTGGCTCCATATTCAGCCTTCAACCATATATCACATTTCCTCCCTAAATTTAGCCTTTCTATTTCCACCCATAAATCTGGTTTAAAAAAAAGTGAAATCCATTATTTTAGAAATTATCAAACACTGTGGACCACTAGAACTCTCCGGAATCGAATCTATTTTCAGGGTCTCACGGCTGGTTTCTTCATTCTTGTTGTTGGAAACTTTCACTCAGTCTGCAAACATTTGTTGACCCGAGTGTTGGAGGGGAGGGTGCAAAAATGCATCTCGTTGGATCCTGCGCTTGTAAGGAGTTTGCAGTGCAGAAGCGGGTGATGAGGCAGGTCTGGAGACCATTTCGTCTAAGATGGGTTGTAAGTCCCAGGACAGCAGGACAGACTTGCGCAGAAGCCTCCACCCCAGCTCCAGCAGGAGCAAACCCCTAGAACCAGGCCAAGCCCGTGATGACATCCTCACTGGGCCAAGGTGGTGGGTGAGCACGTGTGTGCATTAGTGCCTTCAGGTTGGAAGGAAAGGAACGAATCCTTCCCTGGTCAGTCTACACTGACCTGGAAATGTGTTGGGATTAGCTGTCACCTCTGGCACAGAACTCTTGGCACTGGGGAAGGCAGTTGTGGTGATGGTAAGCCAGGCAGGGCCCCCAGCTGCCTGGGGAAGGCTGTCTGTGGAAGGAGCTGGTCTCTGGTCTCAGCTTTCACCCCGCCTCCCAGCCAAGGCTGCTCTGCCTCAGCCCCCAGCCTGTTTCCTCCAATGGACCTGACACAGGTCGGCCCTGCCCACTCATGTCTGGGCCCTGTCCCAGGGTTCCCCTCTGCACCTTGGCTGCCGTGCCCTTGCCAGGACACCCTCTGGCTCTCTTGTTCACCCTTGCACTTGGTCAGCCAGCTGTTTACTGGGCAGCTATCATGTGCCAGCACCGTGCTGGCCACCACGATGTCCTCCCCTCATGGATCACGTGGTTGGTGAGTCTGCAAGCTGGGACCAGCTGGGAAGGCAAAGGGCAGGGGGCCAGGAGGACACTTAGGTCTGTAAATGGGGAGAGGGCCATCGTGTCCTCTCTAAGGAGATGGTGGGGACACTATCGATCTTTCTGGCTGCAGGGCCCCTTCCTGGGTCCAGGTACATTGGGGTTGAGGATGCCTGACTCTGACCCTGACCCTCCCTCTCCAGCCTCCCTTATGCCGGACACTGGGCAGGGAGGCAGCTCCTGTCAGGGACAGCTGGCTCGTAGAGGTGGACCCAAGGGCCTGGGCAGCTGTCCAGGGTCTGAAGACACGGGTGAGGCAAGGCCCACCTGCCCCTCATGCTTGGGAAGTTCCCTGAACTGGGCAGTGCCAAGAGGGCTGATGTTTTTCTCTGACTGTGAGATGGTCTGGGGACCAGTGTACAGAAGGTATCTTTATTGTGCTAGCCACCTACTGAGAGGGTTTTTTGGGGGGGTAAATTTTTAAAATTGAAGTATTGATCTGTGGGAAGGGCGTTGTTTTTTAAACTAAATATAGATCCAGGGAAGGTTGTCCTTCGCTTTGGGGAGACCTGTTTGGGTTGTGTGTGTACACGCACATGTGTGTACATGGCTGGGTTCACACCTCTGCCCCCAGGAAGTCATAGATAAGCCTCACACGAGGGGAGCCCAGCCTCCATCTTTTTCACCTCATCCTGGAGAAGAGACTCCAGAAAGGAACTGAGGGCATCTGCACAGTGCGGCTCGGCCCGGAGCATTGGCCCCTGCATCTCCGTTGCCCCTTCACAAAGACATCCTCGTCATCACAGTCCTGGTGGCGCAGGCGGTGAGGACCTCCAGTACGTGTTGAACAGAAGTGACAGTGGACATCTTTGCCCAGTTCCCAACTGGAGAGAAAGTGCTCAAAATCTCACCATGAAGGATGAGGTAAGCCTTAAATATTTAGTTTTTTATAGATGTCCTTTGTCATAGAAAGTGTCCTATTATATTATTATTAACATCATTATTATTGTCTATTGTATTATTACTACAAATAGTATTATTTATTATAGTTTGCTGAGAGTTTATCATACATAGGTGCAATGATTTTTAATCATAGCAATTATTATTTAAAATATCTCCTCTCAAAAAAGAACGAGAAGGAACATGTGTATGTATATGGATGACTGAAACATGCTGTGCAACAGAAACGGAAGCAGCATTGTAAACTGACTAAACTTTAATTAAAAAAAATTTTATAAATCTCTTCCCAAATAAATTGAATCTATTTTTGCAGATCTGCAAATATTTAAATCACCATAACCTTGTCTCTATTATAAAACACTCTGTATAGACTTGATCACTGTGTTATTGTATCTTAAAACAAAAAATATAAATGAATAAAAACATTAGTGCCCGATACTCTGCCTTTTTTACGTCATAAGTGTCCTCTTTGTTGCTGTAGGAATCCAATGGTTAAATGTGTACCCAACTGAATTCTCTTATTATCAGTTTTGCAAATAAAAGGCATGGTTTTAAGTGAAGCCAAAAAAGCTGTTTGCTATTGTGTCACTTGAGAAAGGATTAAAACCTCAGACTTCCCGATCACGAGGCCATTAGAAGGTAACCCAAGGATTAACTGAGACGAAAACTGTACGTTGTCGAGGAAGAGGGAGGTGCCAGTGGGTCGGTTGAGTTTCCCTATCAGATTTTTGCCTTGGGACTTTGAGGGCTGATTTATGAGTCAGATGTTCTGGTCTCTGGAAGCTGGAGACCCCTTCTAGAGCTTCTGGGCCACTAATTCCCCTCACTCTCCTGGAGAGGCCCAAAGAAAGACAGCTTGCAGCGAGGTCCCTCATGTCCGAGGTGACCCTGATGTCCGAGCTGCCTCCTTGGCTGGCCTGCTGTCCAGCTGGTCTTCACGGCTGTGGACCTGGACCATGCCCTTGTCACCCCCTGCCTGGTGTGTGTCCCCCAGGCAGTCATCCAAGCGTGGTTCTGCCAGCATCCCTGGGGTTGGTGCTCAGGGGTAGCCCAGCCGACACCCCCCCCAAACATGGATATCCTGGGGCAGTGTCTGGAATGGGGGCCCTGCATGCTTTGGCCAAGAAGGCCCCTTCCTGTCAGGGTGTGTAATCCCTCAGGAGGCTGAGGTGGGCTCCACAAGCATGGATGGGCCTGGACCTCAGGACGCCCCTCACCCCGTGGAGCAGCTACAATTTACACGCTCCTACTGTGTTGGCATCAGCCCTTTACAGGCCTTCTCTTATTTAATCCTCACGACTCTGTGAGGCCCATATCC